GAGTTTGGGGGAGTTGGATGAGGGTGGGAAGAAGGACCAAGGGGGTGTGTGTGCATGGGGGGGTGGAATCTATGTGCAGAGAGCAGCCAAGTGGCAGCTTACCCAGTTAAATATTAATCATCTCTGCTTCTGCAATTTCGGCAATGCATCTAGGCCCACCACTGCTGAATATTTCATTAACACCACTCACTTCCAACTGCACTTCTCCCTCTTTTCTTTCTCCCATAGACCCTTCTCCCAGTCCTCCTCCCATTGCCAGTGCCAGCCATGGCCACCACCTCCATCCTTTAACCTCACATCCTTATCTCTCAAGGGATGAGCACCAGCCCAGCCCTGCTCCATCCACAGGCCACCGATCGTGGTGTCTGTGTGGGAAGAGAGCGGCAAGGCTGTTCAGGGGGAGGAAGATCATCAACTCCACTGGGAGGAGAATATAAGTGCGCATCAACAAGTCCTGTGCTAAATAATACATGAGGCGGGTCAGGGCAGAAATGCTGACTCTGGGCTGGGAGCTTTTTAAACCACGTAGCCTGTGTTTCTTCATCACTGGCTTGCTCTGAGCAAGTACTTTGGGAGCACAGTCAAACGCGCTATGATGAGCTTTGTTGGGCTGGAGCAATTTTCACCTTGTGTTCCTAATTGCAGCTTCCCCCTTGTCTGCTGCCAGCCCCTGAACAGGGTGTGCAGCAGCAGAATCTGGAACAGGAGAAGGACCTTGCAGGGAAGCCGAAGAAAGACAATGTGTTGGTGCTCTAGTCCAGACTCAATGTTCAGTGTCCATTCTCCCAAGACAAAGATGCCTTTCATTAATACCAGTTGTAAACCTCTGTCTCTTCCTGCTCCAAGCCCTTCTTCTCCATCCATTCTTTCCTTCTGTTCCATTCTGTCCTCCATTCCTAAGCTTTACTTTTTTCTTTTCTCCTGTCCTGAAAGAATTACTTTCAAAACTTTAATTTAATCAGTGATTAGAAAGTTCAGGTTGACCTTTGAACATTGCACTTTTGAACAGTTTCCTCCTCCCATTAAATTCAGGTTTAAACAGTATTATCCCAATGTGATTGTGAGGAGGTGGAGGAAACAAAACAGGCAAATCTGGGTTCAGACTCTGTATCTATAGTTAAGTGCACACCAGCACCTAAGTCGCTTGTGGAGATTTCTTACGCTAAGAGGGAGATCTACAAGAGGTATGGTCTCACAGCCTGTTGCTCCAAGAGGCGATGGCCACAGTGGGATAGAATCATAGGATAGTTTGCATTGGGAGAGACCTTTAAAGTTCATTTAGTCCAACCCCCTACAATGAGCAGGGACATCTTCAACTAGACCAGGTTGCTCAGAGCCCTGCCCAATCAGGATACCTCTGTCCTCAATGAAACATCCGTATACGAAGCATTTAAGTGTTTATAATGAGATAAAAAAAAAGACTTGCAGCTCATTGGCTGGCATGTCTAGCTTTGGTTTGGACATCCAATTTTCAGATAACTCACGAGAGGCAAGATAAACCATCCCATGATCATTAACCTGGGTGAAAAGAGGCAAAAAGGAGCAGACAATTATCATATCTGAAGTAAACAAAAGGCTCTCTGCCTACTATTGCTTCTGCGTGGTCTTGGATCAGGTGGAAACAAAGCTCAGTTCACCACCGTGTCCTGTGTCCTGACGTCACCGCTGATGCTACGTGATAGAGTTAACTGCTCACTTGGAGGAAGGCACCCGGGCATCGGCTGGCATGAGTCGTTCCTCTCCCAGCTACAGGAATTGCAAATCCCAGGCAGGTTTAATTGTTGTTTTCTGTCAAGAACCAAAAACTAAGACCTTGATCAATAGCTGAGGGAATGCCTCAAGACAATGGTATGTTTGCTGCAAGAGAGGGTTTTCTATGCAAATCTCTTTGTGGGATCAAGATATTCCTTTTGTGTAATATATTAAATAAAATGTGCTCTAGAGAAGACACTTGAATATATCGAATGAGATAACTTCATCTGATTAACGTAGCACGCTTGCTTTCCCCCTTTTTATTAAAAATTCACAAGGCTTCCCATCCCTTATCTCAATTAAGCAGCTTGTTTGTCAGGATTATATGTTACGCATTTTCATAAACATTTGATGAATTATATGCAAACATCTTACTAATGTATTAACAAGACCAAGGTTTTAATTACACAACACTCAAGGAAAGGAGGCGTAAGGCTCCTCCAGTGAAGTTAATTGTGCTTTCTTGTGTGTGCATTGCAATGGGAATTTTCCTCTAGGGAAAATCACATTTCAGGCTGCAGTGGCAACACAAGCAGCCCAAGCTCTCTGCGAGGACCAGCAGGTCGAGCATCATTGGATTCCACTACATCAAGAGCTCCACTAGCCTCTGCTAGAAGGCTGCAACTTCCGCTCAAACTTTGCTGGCAGTTGATAAAATCAGGTTTACATAAGTTCCTATTCATTATTCATCACATGGAGATGACATTTTAAGGGAATCTCAATACAACAACAGAAGAGTCATCCTTGGTCCACCCCCTTGAGCTTTTCAGTTTAAGAGGACAAGGAAAGATTCAGACCATCGACTGTCCTGGTCTGCTCCATAGTCAGTGTAGAGATTCAGGCACAACACCAAAGGTCACTACCTTCTGCAGATGGTCAGACTTCAGCCCTCTTCCATCCATGGTCTTTCACAGCTTAGGTCAGGGCTTGCAGCATAACTTTTGTCATGGTCTTTCTGCTGAGGCAGGATTTCTCCCCATCCCTTCTTCGTGGCATAGGCAAGCAGAGTATGGAGATATCTGCATGGAGGACATATGTTGCTCTACAACCACAGAGTCCCAAATCCCTGTAAATCCCTTGCTCCTTGGTGTTGTTGAAAGTATTGTGGTGTCTGGAGCAATAACTCACAAGTTTTCAGGTCCCAGCTCTTCAGCACAGGCAAAGAGCATTTGGCTCAAGCCAAAGGGCTGTCAAAGATTAAGGAACCCCCAGTTATTGCTTCAGACTTCAATCAGTCAGGGACAGAGAAGAGCACCAAGCTATTGGTCACAAGTAGTCTTTGAAAGGTTTAACAGACCATGCCACCTGCTGTAAGAGACATCAAGGCTTTCCTTTATGTTTTTGCTTACAGATGATAGCTTAAACAAGGCGGAAAAAGGGGAGGATGCTTGGAAGGAAAGGAAGCCACAGAGCAACCCAGGTCTGAGCAATGACTAGAGAGTTTCCTGCTCAGAACAGAGGTTTTCCCCCTTTGCTCCCATTTAAGTCAAACTCTCATTTCCTTAGCCCAATCTTAAAAGAAACCCCTGCACAAACTTTTCCTTGCTTTGTGTCAGCTCCTTCCCAGTTTGGAAGCAATTCTTGCTTCAATGGAAGTCTGTAAACAGCTCACCATTGCCTACACTGCAGCTATTTGTTAAAAATTTCAACATCTATTAAGCTCTAGCTGGGATCAGGGCTCCAAGAAAACCTCAGCACCAAGGTTTTCCTTCTAAAATGCCCAAGTCACAACAGAAACATTTGTGCGAAATCACTTGATTTTGATTTCCACTGGGTTTGGAATATTTCACTTCCTAAAAATAATTCAGAAATCCCTGAAAGTCCACTTTGAAATTATATATTAACTTTGATCTAACAGCATTAGTTGTTCAATAAAATTCCTTTATGTTTCTGTTGGAGTTCTGCATATCTCATTACTTGTTAGCATTCACAACATGTCATGACATCTTTCTCATGTCATAATATGGCCAACTATATTATTCCTTCTATTTTTAACATTATTTTAGAGCCTCCAGTTTTATTTCTGTTCATTTCCTCTTGCAAATGGGAACATTTGCAGTGTTTGATATCTTTATTTTAGCTCAGGAAATCATTTCAAATGGTCTTCCGACAATCAGCTACTACCCCAATTAGTACTGAGCCCTTATCTTTTGTCCCATCTTTCAGAAGTATTAAAACATCAAACTGTTTCATTAGGCCAGTGAATGTTACTGCCTTTGATTAATAAAATAAAGTAAGCATGTAATGCTAATGAGAGTATTAGCCATTCATTACTGTGTCATTTACTTTGTGACACATAAGCAATGAGTGGTCTTACAGGACTGGTCCTAGGCATCACTTGTTTCTTCTGCAGATTTGTCATGACAGAATGTGCATGTAATTCAATTACAACATTAGGAAGGAGCAGCATTTTAATGGTGATTTGGAATAAAGTAAGAACAAATAAATCATCTCAAGACTCATACTCCCTGGAGAAGGAATTCCCTGGACAAGGAATTCCCCTATCCAAGTACAGAAAAAACAAGTTTTGAAATGCCTGAATTTCAGAAGGATGATGAGTTTTAACCACGCTGGGGGTGACACCACCAGTTTTTCCAGCATGGAGATGCTTTCAAAGTCCCCATCGCTCCAACAGATGGGATCGTGAGAGATGGATGAGAGATGGAGAGGGGCAAAAGTGGTCCCTCCGTCACGGAAGCTCATCAATCCCTAACCAGGGCGACAGCTTCCCTCTGGATGTGAGCTATATTCTCCTTTCCCACTCCCAAAGTATATCTGTGGTAGCCAGTGAATACAAATCAAGGCAGTAGCGTTAATATTCTCATTACATTTAAGTCTAATGGGCTTTTTTAATATTCAGAATCAAAAGCACTTCACCATTAGCAGATTTTTTATACTTTTTTTTTTTTTTTAAAAAAGAGCCCTGCATCTCATTCCACTCTTCCTCCTTGGTTCCAATTCTGTATTTCTATGCTTTATTTTAAGCCAGGCTAAACCACCAGGGAAGGGCCGTGCCTATAAACAGATGCCACTCACAGAGGGTCTGCGAGGCCTCCACATCATTAGATGATGGTGAACTTTGAACTTGTGATTTGGAGGCTGCGTTTGCAGGAGAGGAGGAGGAGGCAGCAGGGATGAGGCCGGGGCGGAGGGAGCTTGACGGGGCCTCTCTGGTGAATTACTGGCCTACCCAGCACAGGAACGCTCAGGACTTCAAATCGGCTCCAGTCACTTTGAAGCTCCTCTCTCTTAATCTCTCTCTCTTTCTCCCCCTCTCCCTCCGTCTTTTCCCCCCTTGCATCTATGAATCATTCATGTCTCTTCTTCTTTTTTTTTTTTTTTTCCCCTCAGAGGTTCCTTTAGAAAAAAAGAAAAAGAAGAAAAAAAAAGGGAATAAAAATATACACACACAAAGCCCTGCCTGTGCTTATGTTCTTACTGCTCTGTGTAGCTTATTATCACCGATGTTGGACAAATTACTTACTTGATGTTTGCAATGTGCTGCCATCCCTCAGAGCGATGCTCCTGATGGGCCGGCTGTTTGGTTTTCAATGTTAATGTATAGCAAGGCACCACCTTCCATGTAAATACGTGGTGAGGAGGATTTGCAAGGAAAGAAGCCTGGTCCTGGCGCTGGAGCTGCCGTGTGCAGAGAAGAATGTGCACACACGTGTGACAAAGCCATGAAGCCAGACAGGCACATACACAATGAGCATGGCTGGATGGGAGAAGTGCTTTCTGCTGCAAGTTGGTCCATACATTCAGCCTGGAGAAGAGAAGGCTCCTTAAGGGGAGACCTTAGAGCAGCTCCAGTGCCTAAAGGGGCTGCAGGAAAGCTGGAGAGGGGCTTTGGACAAGGGCCTGTAGGGACAGGCCAAGGGGAATGGCTTTAACCTGCCAGAGGGCAGACTGAGATGAGCTCTTAGGCAGAAGCTCTTCCATGGCTAGTGGGGATGGGAAGAGAGTCAGCTCTGGAGCCTGGCATTGTACTTCACATTGCTATGAGGGTAGGAATAGGGGCTTCGCTGGTTTTGGGAGGAAAGTCAAAGAGGATACTCAGCTTTTCTTAGATCATGGAGGGCCAGAGTAGATTGATGTGGGGTTGACGCCAGTGGATGGGGATTGTAAAATGCAGGGGACTTTGTACAACGCTTATTTCCCCCCTGGCACCTGGACTTGGCAGCAGTCAGGTCCTGATGCACTTAAACATCCAGCTACCTTCAAGATTTCAGGCTCTGAAGCTCAGGCAGCTTTGTAGGTATTTGGTTAATGCTGTCTCTGAAGGGAGGAAAACACATTTGCTGCCACCACGAGCCTCCCAGTCATTTCTAGGATCCCAGAGGGCTGGTTTGTGCAGTCCTACTCCAGACTGAACCCCGGTGTAAGTGGTTTATCCATCCTGACACAGGGAATCCCTGGATGGGCTGAGACTTGAACCTGCAAACCCTGCTTTGAGCACTCCTCTTGGTCGCATTTCCAGACTGCATCCTGGGAGATGCCAGGAGAGAGCACAGTTACGTGGGAAGGAGACTTTCAGCCTCCTACAGCTCTCACCTAGGGCTCTAACTCTGGAGGAGCACAGCTTGCCCAGCCCAAGCCGGGACTCCTCTGGTCCCAACTCTGCTCAGACCTCAAAAGCGATATCTTTCTCCAATCCAGCAGAGCCAGCACCATACACAGAGGTTTGATTAGATGAGTTCTATGACCTATTTAATATGTGGAAAATAAACAGCTTTGGTATTAATAATAAATATTTAGGGCTTCTTCCAGCTGTTCTTGTGTAGCTCTGTGATATACTGGTTAGCATTGATTTTGTTTCCCAGAAAAACCTATATCTACAGATGCAATGCTTTCACAGCCTCTGTGCCTTGATTCTGCCCTTATTTTTCTTTTTTTGAACATGTAACATAAGAAATCTTCTCAGAAGTTTTGGGCAATAGGTGTTACTAGGAAAAATCCAAGAGGCCACCTTACCTTCTAGATGTGAGCATGTAAGTTTTCCTCCATCTCTCCATTTAAACCCTGAATCTCCAGTATAAATTCCAGGCTCACCACCCAACACATCTCAGAGAAGCTGATGTAGGGATGTACGGCTGTAGATTGGGCAGGGATCTGGCAGCAGATCTAATGAAAACAAAGGCAGTGATTTCCCACACCCCAAAGCATGGGATGTGGAGAAGGCACAAGCAGAGACGACACCCACAATTGAGGCAGAGACCTACGATGTCCCAACTGAACCTGCTGGCTCCAGAGACCCTTAACTCTCCGCTGCTGGAAGCTAGAAAGCCATCGGAATTGCCTCTGCATACACACCTTTCCTCTTTTGTACGTAGCTGTGACCCATAGGAGGCAGGGGGAGACACACAGGGATGCACACACCAGCGATGTAGCAGGAAAGGGGACAAGCAAGGAGGGCTTAGCCGAGCATCTCAGGTAGCAGCATCTGTCCTGGCAGATGAGGCTTTAAGGAGGGACAAGGAGGCTTCTGGAAACACAGAACACTCATTTTAAGTGATTTCTGTGCCTGAACTAGCTATTGGCACATCCCCAGTCTCCCCAGTGCTGCCATAGCCTGCAATGCAGCATCCAGAGCTTTCCTCTGCTGCCTTGCTTCTCCTTCAGCACCTTCTCAGCGGGGTGGCGGCAGGGCTGTTGATGGGCAGCCTTAAGCTACATGACCGCTCACGCCGCTGGGGCCAGGAACCCATTTCCCCCCCCTCCCCCAGGCAGAGGTACCACCTCCCAGCCTAGCCTACCGCCCTCAGGATCTGAGCATTCCCTGCGAACACCCAAGGCTGCAAGCGCCACGGCTGGGCTCGCAGGGGCAGGGGACGCCTCTGTCCCACCACAGAGCTGCCCCCGCAGCCTGCAGAGCTGTTGATCACAGCATATGACGAGAGAGCCCTGCTCTGCCCGTGCTCACGGGGCTGGCCAGCTCCCCGCAGCCATCTGCTCCGGCCACCGGGCACGGAGCAGGAGGGAGGGACGCAGGGGTGGCCGGATGCCTCCCGCCGAGCCGCGGCTGCCCCGCGGGGCTGCATGGCCGGCCCCGGCACAGACGGGCGGGGGGGGGGGGGAGAGGAGAACAGAAGTGCTGCTTGTCCTCTCCCCGAAGAAATGAATGGAAAAGGGGTTTTCCCAAGAGCTTTCCTTGAAGGAAAGGTATTCGGGTGCTGCACCTGAATACCAGCACCTTCAGCAGCAGGGAGTTACCACCTTCCCCAGCCCTTTGCCCTTCCAGTCACTATATCCTAGAAGGAAATTCTGGGACAATGGGAGCTTGGTTCCTCTTTGAATAGGCACCAGATTTAGAAAAACTATTTCTCACAGAATCACAAATGGGTTAGAAGGGACCTTAAAGCTCATGTAGGTGTTGGGGGGGGGGGGAGGAACAAATGTTGTACAAAGCCCCCTGCATTTTATAATTCCCATCCAATGGCATTAACTCCACATCAGTCTACTTGGGTCTTCCAGGAGCTGACTCTCTTCCCATCCCCACTGGCCAGCTGGGGGGTGTCTAACGACCCACATCCACCCTTTGTGCCTCAGTTTCCCCTGACTCCAAATGAGAGAGAGCCCCTTTGGTGTGTCCTTTTCCTTTGAAGACTTGAGATCGCAGAATCCCAGCCTGGTTTGTGTTGGAAGGGACCTTAAAGCTCCTCCAGTTCCAAGCCCTGCCATGGGCAGGGACACCTTCCACTAGAGCAGCTTGCTCCAAGCCCCTTGAACACTGCCAGGGATGGGGCAGCCACAGCTTCTCTGGGCACCCTGTGCCAGCGCCTCAGCACCCTCACAGGGAAGAGCTTCTGCCTAAGAGCTCATCTCAGTCTCCCCTCTGCAGGTTAAAGCCATTCCCCTTGGCCTGTCCCTACAGGCCCTTGTCCAAAGCCCCTCTCCAGGTATCTTGTTGGCCCCTTTAGGAATTTTATGACTTTTACATATATAAAAATGTGTTATTTTCTTAGACTCACCTAGTTATATGAGGGTCAGGCACAGGGTGCCTTTTCAGGAGAAAACATGACGCTCTGGGAGGATGCACAAGGTCTGAATCGCACCCGAACTCTGGGAGAGAAAACTGGGAAGAGAACACCCAGGGGTTCAACACCAGGCACTAAGAGAAGTTCCTAAAGCTTCCCTCCTTTCTGCACAGAGTCAGTAAACACATGAGTGGCACATGGAAAAGCATCAGCTCTTCCCAGGTTATTGATTTTTGACTTCCATTCCCCCGGCTGTCTCCCAACTCGTTAGCTTCAGCTCAGGCAGCCTAATCTGACCTCAGCCTTAGATCTTCAGCTGACCAGTCTGACTAAAAGTCACCTGCCCAGCCCTAATGCACTGTCTAATGGGCCATGTGCTCACCTCAGGGATTGCTGGAATCTCCTTAGGGCATAGGAGGGATATTAGAAGGACATCTGAGGCTTTCCTGGGCTGGGAACAGATTCCCTCTTCTCATTCGCAGCAAGGCACAAGTTTGGGTCAAGGTTAAAATCAGGCTTTGGTAAATGAAGCGTCGGGGTCAAGTGCAGAAGGCACTGCTCAGCCTCCAGTTTCCGGAAGCCAAAGGCTGGTGCCAAACCCTGCTGAGACCTCATGGCGCTGGGGGGGGAGGACCTGAGGTCTGCACCCAGTGGGGAAAGGAGAGCATGAGCAGGCAGCTGGATCCTGGTTTCCTGCACAAACCTGCAGCCTTCTGTTGCTCTTGGTTTTAGGCAGAACCGGAACAAAGTGGTTCAGAAGAAAGAAATCAGCTGAAAGGAGCTGTGGTGTATAGAAGCAAAAGAGGGCTGGTTTAGACGAAGCCTAAGCTCCACATCCCACCCTACTGAACTTTTAGGCAAGTAGCATTCAGACCACTGGCCTTTCCCTAGGTGATTAATTTCTACCATTTGTGCCTCAGTTTCCCCATCCACCAAAGGTTGCCCCAGGGGCTTCTCCTTTTGCTCCGACATCTCAAGAAACATCCTGTGATGCTCTTAATCCAAGTTTTCATCAGCAAGCCATGCTCTTTGTGTGTCTGCCCTGCAGAGGCTCATGGCCAGCACTGTGCCCTTCAGCCTTGCCCTCCTGTAGCTGCTGTGGTAGCAGTTTACCAGCAAGTTTTCCCAAACATTTGGACCTGGGCTGGAAAATTGCATTCATTGCTTAAAACATGCCAGGAGCTGAGAGCTGGAGTAAGCAGCAAAGAAAGGCAGAGGCAGGAGGGGAGGGAAGGGAAGGGCAGTCTAGTGTGGCCAAGGGAATCGCATCACACCAAGACATTAGGGCCAGCAGGTCCCTGCCCTACTTGGCCAGACCTTTTGCCCTGGCTGCTCAGTGCAGCTCAGCAACAGCCATCCCTGGAGAAGCCTCTTGGTTCATCCACCGCAGCCCAGCCCATCCTTGGGGAATGCTCTGACGCTGCATGGACATGAGGAAGACTTTCTTGTCTTGGGTTTTAAGTCTGCATCTATGCAACAGATGCAGGTGAGCTGAAACCCTTCTAGATGGTGAGAAACTCTTGTCCTCTCTCTCTATCCAGGGCTCTCCCCTTCCCCACTAGCTTTCAATTATTTAATTTCCCCTCCCCCCCAGCATCTGAAAGCCAACTGTCTTAAATACAAATCACCTCCAAATCATTACGTGCAGGACCTTTCGGCCCTCTTCAGAGCAATGGGCTGTGAGTAATGAGCTCTGCTGAGAGTTTGCTGGATTTCACATACAACAGATGTAAAAGATGGGCTGGAGAGGGGGAGGAAAGGGTGGAAGGAGCCAGATCTGGCTGGGGGGGTGAAGTATTTGCCACTCACCTTTTCCTTTGACTGCAGTAGACAGAGGAGGTTCGGGTCCTCCTGCACTGCTGTGATCTGGCTCCTGAGCTGGGACCAGGCAGGCAGGCAGGGTGCTGCTTGAACTTGAAGCTCTGAGCCCTCCAGGTGCTCCAGTACCCTTTCAGAAATAGGGATCCTGGCCTGGACCCTCCCCCAGCAGACCATGAGCAAACCCTCATCTCCCAGCAGTGTCTTCTCCTTCCTGCTGAGGCACAGGGTTGTCTGAGATGCCAGAACCTGGGACTGGATCCAGCTGCTCTTGCTCTTTCCAGGCAAAGGCCATGGGGATAGACAAAACCCAGTGCAGAGGTGGACAATCCCTGAGCTCACCCCAATCATTCAATGCTATCCCTGGGTGGACATCATATGACTTGGGCTCACCAAGGGCAAAAGAGGCTTTGCACCCAGATCCAGGATGCTACAGGCTCAAGACCTGAAGATAGCAAGTGATGCATGGGGTGGTTTTACCTCCACACACTGGCCTCCAGAAGGAAGCAGTGTACAGGACACCCAGCCTGGACCTCCTGCCATAAGACCAGGTCCATGCTGACACCTCCACTTCTGGGAGCTCTCTGGCCACCAGCAGGACCAGACAGGGACCTGCTGTTCCCATGGAAGAGGGGACAGGCTGCCACCCCAGCCTCTCCATTGCCCCTTTTCCTCTCAGCATCCATACCCAGAAGACACAAATTGCTCCCTCCAGGGGCTCTACTGGTCCTGCCACCAGCAACCACTGCCTCCAGCAACCAGCAACCTCCTGCTCCAACAGCACCAAGCACCAGCAAGCTCCCACACACAGAGCAAAGGACCCTCCATCTCAAGCCAGACCCAACCACTGGTGCTGGGAGAGGCAGACCCTGTGAGGGCTGACCCTCTCCTTCCTGCCTGGGGAAAGGTGGGGATGGAGGAGATGGGGGGGGGGAAGCAGAAAACGAGAGCAAACCCTTTCACCGCAGACTTCAAAGTCATCATCAGCAGGAGCCTTCGGAACAGTTTAAGTACAAAATGAATTGTTTTAATATTTAATCAGTCTATAATAGGCCCAGGGATCCCAGTGGAGACTGTTTGCAGTTGAAAGGATGTCCAAACTGAGTTTCCTCCCCTGCAGAAGGGACAATGCTCTTTGTAGGAGCTCCTGCTCCCAAGACACATGTAAGGACCATCTCCTCTCTGCTGGCTTCACTCAATGCAGCACAGCACCCAGGACCAGCTCCCACCCATTCACCTGATGTGCTGAAAGCTTTGAGAGACATAACCATAAATCCTCATCCTGGAGCATAACGATTTAATTCTCCGATGAGCTCAGAATAAATTCCAGTCCTCCCCTCTCCCACCCTGTAACACCCTTCCAGGAGTCAGGCCCCCTTGGCCCACTGCACTCCATCTTCCCCGCGGGGTTGGGGGTGCACCCAGCTATTCAAAGGGAATTACTCGTGCTGGCAAGAAGCCCTTTGCCCTTCTGTGAATTGGGGTTCTTGGATTTGCAGGGAATATAAACCCAATTTGGCTCAGCCTTTTGCCTCCAGGATCAAGCTGTGGTCACTGTTGGGTTGTTACTACAGCAAGACCACATCCCACAGGCAGCTGTGGTCCTGCTGAATGACCTCCAGCAGCCTCATTTCAATGGAGGGATGCCAAGGGAAAGGTCCTTTCACTTCCAGCATGACCCCAGACTGCATACTGGTTCCTCTCTCCCTTAATGGGGTTACAGCAACACTTTCTGGCCCTGGAGAACAGGGCTCACTGCACAAGGGGCTGTCTTAGCACATGCAAACCTTTCATCTGCTCCAGGAACAGAGTCTGACTGCTTTGTTCTCTGGGTTGGGAGCCCAGGGCACAGAGCAGCCTCCGCCAAGCCCTTCAGCAGATCCAAGCACACCTCAGCGATGTGCACATGAGTCCCAAGGGCATGAGGGGCACAGGGTGCTTCTATTGCCTCATATGCTTCCTTTTTCCTTCGGGAAGGGGAAAAGCTTCTGTTCCCAGAAGGAGGCAGGAATATTTTGCTCAGCACCAAGCCCCTGATCCACCATTACTCCCAGAGAGCAGCTCCTTCATCCCTGGTTAGTACTTGAGTAGCTTCCTCCTGGTCATGGCATTCAGCCACATGCGCCAAACTCAAAGTCTCCCCTAAATTGCTGGAAATCTCTCACTTAAATTGCCCCAGCCTGGAAGAGGCGAATAACAAATCCAGCATGGAAACTGGCTGCTGTGCAGCAGCTCTTGCCACGCAGCTCCAAGTACAGCGAGCTCTGCCTTAGGTAGGGGCCGCTCGATACTCACAGGAGGGCCAGTAGTGAGCTGAGGATGCAGCACAGCAACAACAGACTCAAGTGAAGCAGAGCTCAGATCGCTGGTACGGATGTTAACTGCAAGGACTTCAACTTCGGCGCTGTTGACAGCCTTCCAACTCCTAACCGGAGCTGACGAGTACAGAGAGGGGCTTTGGATGAGGGATGTAGGGACAGGCCAAGGGGAATGGCTTTAACCTGCCAGAGGGGAGACTGAGATGAGCTCTTAGGCAGAAGCTCTTCCCTGTGAGGGTGCTGAGGCGCTGGCACAGGGTGCCCAGAAAAGCTGTGGCTGCCCCGTCCCTGGCAGTGTTCAAGGCCAGGTTGGACACAGGGGCTTGGAGCAACCTGCTCTAGTGGAAGGGGTCCCTGCCCATGGCAGGGGATTGGAACTGGATGAGATTTAGGGTCCCTCCCAACTCAAACCAGTCTGTGAGTCTATGACTGTGAAAGTGGGAAACACATCCCATTTCCAGCACTGGCATCTGGTGCAGGAAAAGGTGCTGTTTTCATTCCAAAAACTTTCAGGAGGACATCTCCAAACAACAGCAGTATCATAGGCTTAGTCTCTGCTGCCTATATACTGAAGGCTATGGGGTTGTCATCACCCCAGGCTCATGGCAAGTGCATGCAGGAAGAAAGGAGCCTGGACTGCGACAACTGATGATGGCTTTATTGCTTCTTACCTTGGCACAGGGGCAGGTCATCCCCTACTCCAGATGCTGAGACCTCTACAGGTACTACCAGACAGTGTGGGCAGGAGAAGCAGAGACCGGCCACAGCATGAGCAGCTGGAGGGACCAGAGATGCCCATGAGGCTCCTCAGCCTGCTGCAGGGGTGATGTGCAGCACCGCACAGGCATGCCCAGCACTGCAGCAGAGAGAACAACCCCTGCATGTTCAGAGCAACACCACCCCAAAACAGTCCTTCCCCAGGATGGGGTCATTCCTCCCCCTCCCATTTCCTACTTTTTGGAGGGAATCCCCAGAGTTACCCCACTGTGGAGTAGCCTGGCCTAGCCCAGCCCTTCAGGAGGATAAGAAAGATGTTGGGGGAAAACAAATAAGCCTAAAACCATTATCAATCAGGGTTATGCTTCCATTAGCTGCCCAGAAGCAGCCTTCTCCTCACAGGTTTCGAGTTACTGCAGTTTAGCTCTCAGTAACCTGCTGGATGTAATAAATAACTCCATGGGCCCTGCATGGTAGATCTGGGACCATTAAAGATGCCGAGTTATTTTTACAGTGTTTCTTGGCGGAGGGCGGCGGGATAGAAAACATCTCAACTCTCCTCTACCAGCAGAAGCAGAGCCAGACCTTCAATCACTTTCCTACCAGCACCATCTTCTGGCCAACACCAGCCCCTTGCCCTGAGGCAGGAGCACAGGCAGCAGCCAGGGGCTTGGCCAGATGCAGGCAGCTGGAGGCTCAGACTGGAAGTGTTGTGCTGGCTCCCGGTGTTCTGGTAGCACAGAGGACTGCAGACCTTCTCCATCCAGGCTGTGGATCTGAGGCAGGGTCCCAGCAGTCAGCACCATCTAACATCATGGTTACAGCACCATGTAACCCAATGGTCTGGTCTCTCCATCCTGGTACTGCTGTAGGGACCAATCATAAAATGGTTTGGGTTGAAGGGACCTTAAACCTCTTCCAGTTCCAAGCCCCTGCAACAGGCAGGGACACCTTCCACTAGAGCAGGTTGCTCCAAGCCCTCTCCAACCTGGCCTGGAACCAGCCTGGTGAAACCCAGAGGAGATACTTGGCATTGTTCACCTCCACATTCTTGGAAAAGGAAGGTTCCATCAACAGCAGGAGTTGAATAGCAGAGACAGAGACAGCCCAGCTGAAGGGAGAGCTGTGCCCAGTATCCAAAAGAAACCTTCTCCCCCACCCTGGGCAGTCAGCTGGCTAGATTTAGGTAAGATATTAGACATAAGTTCTTCCCTGTGAGGGTGCTGAGGCGCTGGCACAGGGTGCCCAGAGAAGCTGTGGCTGCCCCATCCCTGGCAGCGTTCAAGGCCAGGCTGGACACAAGGGCTTGGAGCAAGCTGCTCTAGTGGAAGGTGTCCCTTTAGTACGTCACTATTGCCACACCCCCCCCCCCAAGCACTTGGCCCTGGGAGTCATCTTCTCATTGTTCAGCTTCAACATTAGTAACTTCCAGGAAGGGGGAGAGAAGAAAAGCACACTGAGTCATTGCATCGACCTTCTCACGCACCCTGTGTCCAACACACACACATGAACATTCCATATGGATACTGGGACTTACTGTGGTCTGGGACAGCCTATGCCAATGACCCCATATCTCTCCATACAGACAGGCAGGATATGAGCAAACCAGCAGCTTGCAAAGAAGTTAAACTCTGGCCAAGTGTCCTGGGGAATGAATTCCACAAAGTCCTTTCTTCTCTGCAGGTCAATGACACATCAAAAGAGACTTGCATACTGCCAGTAAAGCCGAGATAAGCCTTGCAGACCACTGCACTTTTGGCTTCTGCATTTTTCTCCCATCACATGGCTGTGGCGCACTGAGATGCTCCTGCTCATTCTTTCTCTACTCCCCAAATGTTCCATGGTTGCCCAGCTTCTCCTAGAAGGAGAGCTAATGCGAACCAGTAAGTTCAACAATCCTGCTGAAGACTACAGTCACAATGTTATATGCTCTGTCCATAGTTAGCACTCGTAGACTTGTCCCAGGCTGAGATGTCAAGAAAACACACTGTAATTCCTCTAACAAAAGGCAAAAACACATGGATTGGCCTTGTGTTTGGTGTCTCAGCTTTCTCACAGGTGACATAACTTTCACTATTGTGAGCACATCTACCATCATGCTCATGTCTGAAGAGCTGTCAGTGATTCATTTCATAGGGCATGGAAAATATCTTAATTACACTCAAACTAGTTGTAGCTACAGGTTTGATCCCCAGTGGTGTGAGCTGGGAGAGAACCTGGCAAACTGTTATTTGTAACCCCAATGTCCAGTAGCAGACATCAGGGAGGTGAAATAAAGGAGGCAGTCCCTGACTTCACCTGCAAGCAATATTTGGCATAAGTGAAATAAAACCTGACCCAGCAGAAGCAGGGGGTAATGTTTTTTTGCTCCATTAACCAGGACAACCAGCAGCTCCCTGTTACAAGACAATCCCCAGCATCTATAGTGATAGCTGCAACCACTGCCAGCAGAGAGGGTCATTGCCAGGAAGACCAGGCACTATCTCCACTCCTCAGCCCCCACAGCTGTGGGTGCAGCTCTCCAGGTCTATGCCTTCCCTAGACCATCTCTCTGACCCCCCATCAACTCCTACTGCTCCCATGAGCATCCTTGCCATGACAAGTTACACTTCCGCCTGTTCTTAGCTCTCCCTGTAGGAGCCACACAGCTTCCCTCTCAGCATCAGGGATGCTGAGCAAACAAACTGTCCTACAACCAGCACCACCAGCTGCCATGAAGCCATCCCAATACACACACCAAACCACTGACCTGATTTAATGGGAATCATTTGGAAACCATGCAGGATTTGAGCCTGACAGCACTGGAGATGTCTCCTTTAACCCTACAGGCTGCTGGCAAGAGGAGGTTCCTGGGCAAGAGGTTCTTTTTCAGACTTTCTGCTTTTCAGGGCAGAAGGTTAATTAGCTAGCAGGGTAATGAGGAGTCATTAAATCTGCCGGCACCATGCTGTTAGCATAACAAGGGCAGACCAGGAAGGTTAAAGCTGGGATTCTTGTTTTGCCATTGTCTTCAATTAACCTTTCTGTGTTTTCGCAATGCTTTGGGCCCCAGAGAGGTTCTGGGTGCTCTCCGAGGCTGATAATTAGCAGAACACAGAAACAAACTTTCAAGTAACTAGCATGACCATTTTGGCTTTCAGCTTAAAATAAACAGGCAGGACCCAGCTTACCCTTTGAGCAATGCCACTGCCCCATCAAAGCTGAGGAGGGTGAACTAGGTGCCTGGGGCTTTTCAATTGTTATTCTACTCCTGCCTTCACCTCCTCAAGTGGGAAGTGCTGGGGGCATATTTCAGCCCTCCACCAACAAGATCCCTTTACTCTGCATTAGCATGGCATGCACCAAGCACAGCTAAGGCAACATTCCCTAAAACTGGAGTCTAGGTGGGTGGTTGGGAGGAAGGTGTTCCCACCACCTTAGTCCACACACGTGAAGTTGTTGGTCAATCAGCCTTTAAGAACCTGTAGGATGTCCACAGGGCAATTCAGGGCCTGTAGATTCAGACTCTCCCCATTCATTAAGAAGCAGGGCTATGACCTTACCTGAAGTTACCCCAAAATAGATGATGTAAATCACAAATATTTCTGTGGGATATACATGAATAGCTGACGCATCCCAGGGAGGCTCGGTATGAAAGCCCTGACCAAGCACCTCCTGTGAAGGATGACTTGACTTGGTCAGTATTGACACCACCTCCACACATTCTGTGCAGTTCGGTGTGATGAAAGGGGAAACAAACACCTGGCTGCAGGATTCAGTTCCTCTGATGTTGACTTTTGCCTAGTCTTATGCAGAGAATCTCCCTCTGGGGTCTTCAAAAACCTGACCCTGCCTCCGTTGATTGGAGACAGGCTCTTACTCTGAGGGAAACTGCTCTAGGACAGCTAAAGTACTTGCCCAAGCTTGGCCGGCTGCACCCTAACACAGGAAAAACTTTAAGCAAAAAGGCTTGTGAAGCATTTGGATGCACCCTCTGGATATCAGGACATCTTCAGCCCAGAGGGTTGTAAAAACAAGACGTGCAAGCCATGACCAGCGGGTTGGGGAGGGCTGATGGTGGATGAGGGAAGTGATGGACTAAATACTTTCTGGGATTCCTTATTCCATCAAACTTCTTACATGTGAGGAAGATCTGAGAAGACTGATGATCGTTAACATGGAGACAGAAAAGAGTCTGGAAAGGTCTGGGTACTTTTCTTACTGTGATAAAGCTCCTGGCTCTGTAGGAAGTGTTGGTTTCTCCTATAGCTTTTTATCATAGTATCGACATCTTTTTTTTTCCTCTTGTCACTTCATCTGCTCTCTGTTGGGGCTCTTCTCCCATCTTTGATCTACTGACAGATGCATGGTGAGACTGTGGCATCCCAGCACATTGAACCAGCTCCTTCCCTCCAGAGGCTGTCAGCAGAGCACACAGGGCTGTCTCACCTGCTGTGTTTCCAGGGTCCACGATGCATTCATTGGTGGAGAGACAGCTCAGCATAAAGGAGCCTCCCATCATCATGTGTTTAGCAGCTAATCAGAGGGAATCAGCTACTGCCCATACACTACTTTCAATTCCTAAAGGAAGTCTGTGGGTTGACCAATGGGATGTGTCCATAAGAAAAGCCTTCTCATCAGTCCATAGGAGCAAGAACCATGTTGCACAGCTGCTGCATGCAAGAGCACATAAAGCTCCCCAGAAAGCATTCTAAGAGCCTGAGATGGAATATTGGGAGTATTTTCAACATGAAGCCTCCCACCCAATAGTTTTCTTTCCTTCTTTGTTCTGCTTGTGGGAGTTAATGGAGCAGGAAGATGCTTCCCGAGACAGGATGTCCCACACCCACTGTCCTTAACTCCACCATCAAGATGGATTAGCCATGGTGGGGCTCACACGGGGGGAGCGGTCTCCAGTCACATGTGCTGCTTGTGACCCAGCAGCTCTCCTGGGACACACAGCCCTCCACAGAGGATCAGTGTCTCCTCTACACAGAGACACTATTGACAAGCCTCACATGAAATCAGTCAGTCCTAACATGCGTGACCGGGTTTTGTCTCCAGGCCATCCTTGATACACAAGGCAACTCCTCTTTCTGCATTTTTTCTTTTCTTTACCCCTTTAGTATTATCCCAGCTCCAGTCCAGCAGTATGAAAACCTTCCCCGAGCCCTTCCATACACTCGTATTGCTTGACTCACTCTAGACTCTGGTTGAGTTTCATGTTGCCTCTCCCAGCACATCCCCTCCAGCATGAAGCCTGCAAGGACAAGATGACCACTCCACATGGAACACATAGTGAGTGGGACATTTAGGAGATGCCAGAGTTAAAGGCATTTTATACTTTACCCTTTCTCACTTTACCACTGGTAAGCAGCCAACTAACACTGCTTGCAAGCAGCAGTGAGGGGGGGGATATGGTTGAATGTAGGGAATCACATGTTAATCTTGCTCTCCTCATAAAGACTCTACATATTGTTTACCCAATCTATCTCCTGCTGTATTTCCTCATTCCCATTTCCTGGAAAGGTCAACAGTACTTGCAGAAGATGAAGCTTGCATTGGTGGCTCCTCAGGAAGAAGCCATTAATCTTTATAATTATCTCCAATTATTTCAAGAGCAATAACCCTTTTGTCCAAACTCTTCTCAGCCCTTCATATCCCACCAATAGTGCCAAGCTGGTCTGAACGCCACACTAAGCCTGGTAGATGCTTCTTCTCTGTTTCTGGAGAATCCTCAAGATCTGAGGGATTTCTGAAGAAACAAGTCTTCTTTCCATCAACATCCTCCATTCGCACTAGTTTCAGCAACTTCATTGGAGTAGAGATGTCCACTGTTTCTGAGACTTCCTTGAAGGCTCCCTCAACACATGAGTAGTATAGTTATCCTGAACTCTGATGGCTTCCAATCAGGGCTGCCTTCTAAGGCATCTGAAGATGACAAGAGGCTTCTGCTCACTGAAAGCCCCAATTCATCAAACGGCAAGCAGAAATTCACCTACACACATGGACCCTCAGACAGAACGGACAACCTTCAAAGAGAAGGAGCTGGCAAACTTTCCTTTCTATTTGTGACTACTGTCACGAAACATTCTGTGCCTCAGAAGTGAGGCTGCAAATGCCCTCTCATCTCCAGACAGCTTGACTTCAGTTGGCCCCAGCTGATAAGTTACAAGAAAAGAAACAGAGTGTGGGGTCATCTTGGACTCATGGGAACAGCAGTGATCTGGCTTTGCGGTGCAGAGATGCCTTCTGAGACATTCCCTCCTCAAATGGGAAGGAAAATCCCAGCACCCCATGTGTTTTAAACAACCCATTCCTGACTGGTGGGGAGGGTTGTGGCTGCAAACAAACACAGAATCATACACAGATGAAAGTACTCAAGCAATTGCTATTTTCTAGCCCTTTGCAAAGGAGCACATGAGGAGAATTTGGTGGGATCCACCCTGGAATTCCTGAAGGTTTTGTAGTTGGGGCTACACGCAAGATTATCTGTAGTTCCTTTTAGACTGCTACAGGTCAGGAGGCATGACTGACAAGTATATGGGGAAAGTGAGACTTTTCATCCCACTGCTTCGAAGCTTTCCCAAGCAAAAGGAGCATCTCTTCAGACTCCCCATAAGAAAGGAAACAAGTAAAGGGCAGGACAGGTGTTGGCACCATCATTTGCTCTCTTTATTGTCCATTGCTATGCTGGCTGTGCCAGGGGTTAAAACCTGGTGAAACCAGCCTGGAGGGAGTGAAGGATATATAAGTTAATCAGCAAAATGATAGTAGCACTGGAGAGCCTGACCAGAATGAAAAGCACCCCTGGACAGATGCCAGAGCAGTTCTCCAGCACTTCAGACCTCTCAGGCAGAAGCAACAGTGTAAAGGAAATGCTGGTTGCAAGATTTAAGGAGTGGAGGCAACCAGAGCACTGCAGAAGGGCTGGAGGACAAAGGAAATGGGAGAGAAGAGAGGATGGGAAGGAACTGTAACTCCCATTCCTTCCTAAAGGCGAGCTCAGGAGGCAAGCTTGGATATAGCTTCTCCCTATAGAAATAAGCTCCCTCCATGACACCCCAAAATCAGCCACAAAACTCTCCTCCACATTTCTGCTCCTTGAGGTGCACCCCTACCACACACTAGCACCATTCCTTCGCTAGGGACCCACAAAAACCAGCAGCTCCCTCGAGGACAGGGAGCCAAAGGGATAGCACAGCTAGTGAGACAGAGCCCCACCACCCAGGGCCTGCCCCACAGTACCTGATCAAGGCAAGCAGGGCAGGGCTAGAGAAGGCAGCCAGGTCCAACCAAGAGCTGAACTCAATGGGTAAGCCCATAGCAACAGGCACATTTTGAGATAAGGGCATGGCTCAACAGCTGAGGAGAGTAAGGCTTTTAGACCTGAACTCTTATAGGATGCCAGGGCCCGTGGGTGGGGTGGAGCACCCAGGTGAGGCTGCTCAGGGCCATTAAGACCAACCAGCACCCTCCAGGTTCTGACAGCCACCTCCAGCCCAGGCCTGAATAAATATCTGCATTCATTTTGCAGGAGGGCGAAAGAGTGTGAATGTGTCCACAAATTAGCGGGGTCTAAAATGAACCTCTTAAACAATTCTTCCAGATATCTCTCTACTGGAGGGCCACACCTGTGTGATCTGATTCCTCTCATGCGATCACACACAAAAAACAGAGCACAACTGACTCTTTGTGGGACAGTTCCAAACTTATTTGCCTGTGTGTTAAATGCATTGATTCAGCCTTGAAGCAGAAGCGGTTGTTTTTCTCTCAAAGCTTTAAGGACTGCTGTTCCAGTGGCTTTGACTCAAAAGCCATCAACATCTTCCCACAGTTGGCAAAAGGGTTGGATGCCCCGATCTGTGCCTCTCTCTGCATCACAGAGATACGCTGATCACACCAGGAAGCTGATTTCTTGCTGTGACACTATCATGGGACTTGGCTTTACTTTGGTGTTGCAGCTTTGAATAGTTAAACCTTAGCTCCCAGGCAAAGTCATGCATGGGATGATTTACTCCAAGATGAGCAGGAGGGCTGCAGATCACAGGCCAGGAACAAACTCCACTTTAGCTCAGAGCTTTGGAGAACTAATTCCAATGAGTATTCCAAACTGGGAATGCTAGACCTAAAGCTGCTGCTCCAAGACAGTCCCAGAGTGCACGAACAGTCCAAAACTTGTTTGCCATTCACTTCATCTGACCTCTTCCATCATGGTAGCACTCTTAGTTGCATTGATTCACAAGATCTTCGCTGTGACATAAGAAATTCATGCTTCTTAGGTTTTACCTATTGGCTCTTTTTCTTGTGATACTGAAGAATCGCAGGGGTAGGTCAGATAGGAGGAGGGAAAGGCATAAGGCTGTTGGAGATGGCCAAGAGCTGATCCAAAGCCTACGCTAAGAGGAACAAAAGGATGTAAGAGGATGAGCACTGGATGTAGAGATGAATGAGGTACTTGAGACAGCTACACTCAGTGCAAAAATGTGATGTTTTCACCTTAGCTGCTTGCATACAAAATAAACTGTAGAAGCCATTGAAGTTTGCCTGCAAAGGTAAGTTTTCAGAACACATCCTTCCAGCAGCTCAAAGCAAAAGCTGTCTGCTCTTTCTTGTGATATGTTTGTGGTATTTCATTACAATGCAGATCTGTCCATCTTCTCAACAAGTATGACTGAAGCATTAGCAGGAGACACTGACAGATGGATGACGGTCTTTAGTAGAATCTCATCCAGATGCTCTCTCAAGGACTCGAGAGTATGTTTGAAATCTTAGCTCCAGGCTGCAAATCAACTGACCAGGCTTAAAGGCAGTGTGAAGACAGAGAATCAGTCTCCCCATCTAATATATCAATGAGGAGTCAGTGTTTTTCTGAGCTCTGGCTCCTCTGAGCTTGCCATGCTCGGGACTTGCCAATCTTGCCAAGCCATCTTCTGTGCTGCTTGGATGTGAATTGCAACCCAGCTGGCAGCAGAAAACCAAATTAATTATACTTGATGTGTCTTCAAAGCCTAAGGGCAGTCTGTGCAAAACAGACCTCATGAGCCTGCCTGCATGGAGCTACATTGCTGGTTGCTGCTAGATTGAACCATGACTTGCTTCAGATTAGTTTCTTAATTCTGATAATTTAAGTGACTCTTGACATCAGCCTTGAAGCTGAGTTGTGTTTCAAGGGCACTATTTGACTCTGTGTAAGAAACTGGGGGTCTCTGAAGGGGGCTGGAGCCCTCCTTTGAATCCAGCAGAAAAGAAAGGCCCATTCATTCCCCTGTCACATGCAGAAACATGACTGTCCCAAAATAGGGCTGCAGGATACCTCTCCAGTGGGGTCAGCAGGAGGGGTGCCATGTGGGCTCATGAACTCTGGGGAAAGAGCTAAGGAAAAGCTGCAGCCCTCCAAACCAGCCACAGGATTAAAGGAGGCACTGCCTGAGAGGCCGTGACTTCTGCCCTGGGTGGGGATGAGCTATTTGAGGTGCATATTTCCTGACCTGTCTGGGAGTGTAAGGGTGCAGAGGGGTAGCCTCCCTTAGCGAATGGTGGGAGGTCACCTCCTCATGCCCTTTAAAGACACCAGCCCAGGAGGCTGGGAGCAGGTTTGTCTGCAAGCTGTGCAGCAGCACTGATTGTCTGCAGGATCATATGGTTTGGAGAATGACATGAGGAATCTCATGAAGGCACTGGTCATGATTTCCTGTTCAAAGGCAGGTGGAGAGCAGAGAGGAGTCTTCAAGCCAGGACGGTGCCCAGAGCCTGGACTGGCTGTGTGGTGGATGGGGGAGGCTGGTGTGACCCTACAGCAGCACCAGTGCTCAGGTCCTGCCCTGCATCCTGAGCCATCAGACAGCTCAGGGTGCTCAGGAACCACAGCAAAGACCCCAGAGCTGCCATGTGAAAAGACAACAGCACAGCTGCTTGCAGATGAGAGCATGGTCTGAAACCTGTTCCCAGCCTGCTTCACCTAGAGCAGGGCTCGGGGAGACCGACAGAGGGAAAAGTGAGGCTTGTCTCTCCTCAGCACCTCAGGAAGGGCTTGTTAAACTCTGCTCTCTGATGGAATGGAAACCACGAGTCCCCTCTGCCTTCCTTGCTCCCCAGCATTCCCCCACAAGCTCCAGATGGAGCAGCTGCCTCCATAAGCCCTGGGCAGAGAAGGCTTTGATGTCTCTGTTCTCCAAAGGTGGTCGGGGGTGCAGGTTCCCTCCCCAAAGCTCAGCCTCGGGGCTGCTCTGCGACGGCAGCTTCCCCCGCTGCCGCCCTCCCCCTCGAGCTTCACTTCTTGACTGTTTTCGCCTCCTTCCCAGGGCAGCGCTGCGCTGCGGTTCTCCGGCTTCACCCTCCTCCATCCCTGTCCCGCGCTTCGCCCATTGGTCACAGGGGCTGGGCTCGGGGGGAGCCCTGTGATTTTGTATATAACCAACCCCTCCGTTCAGAGACCTCAGCACGTCAGGAGAGGGAAGAAACATTCCCCTGAGCACGAGCCCATATGCAACAGCACGCCGCAGGATCTACAACGTCGCAGTTCTCCCCGGGCCTGCAGGACATGCCCAGCAGCCTGTGAAGTGGGAAGGGAAAGAAGCTGATCCCAGAAGCACCTGAAGTTTGTGGTCACGAGGAAGGTGACTGAACTGCATTGAGAAGCTTTGCTGTTCTGTGTGTGCTGATTTGCAAACAAGGTGATTTCTCGTGTCAGGGTGAGTTTTTGCATGTTCCTCAGATACCCCCCCCCCAGCTCCCAAACTTGGACCATGGTGCCTGAGCAGGGACAGGGAGAGGATGGACAAGAAAAAATCCAGCACACCTTGGTGGGGGGGAAGGTCCTTCTGCTTACGGACCAAACTGGGGTCAGGTCAGGGAAGCATCTGGGGATGTGGTGTTGTCATCTGCCTTTATCCCTCTTTTCCCTCACCCATGCCATTTTTGCTGCAATAAATGCTTTTTCTTGCAGAAAAGGTCTGGTTTGGGTTTGGTGCGGTTAGTCTGGCAGAACAGCACAAGCAGAGCTGTTCTTGATGGCAGCCTGCCCTGTGTGTTGTGGTGGAGAGGGTGGCTTGAGATGAGGATACTGCCTGGGATGTGGTGGGCTCCCAGGCAAGAGGAAACCTAAGCCCCCCAGCCTGCACCTGGCACCTTTAAGGCAGAAGCTGTGCAGGGCTATGGCAATGTTTGTCAGTCTCATCTCCTCTCTGGGAGTCATTCTGCAATGTCCATATCCTGACTCCAGTGGTTTCAGCCGCAGTTTGAACTCAGCACAACATAAAGGGCATTTCCACTTCCACGTGTCTAAGCTGCTTGCTAACAGAAGAACCCCAGCCAGGCAGGTGCCCTCTTCAGGCACCGAGTTGCTTCCCCAGACAATCAGCAATATGAGCAAAGTCCAGAGGATTTGGGGTCAAGTGATGCTGACATTGCCTTCACATCTAGGCAATGAACTGTCTTGTTGATGCTCTGTCGTGCCTCATTTTCCCCCCCCCAGCTGAGGAAGGGTTATGCTCCTAAGCACTCCGAGATGCGAGAGCGTGGAGGGCAAGAAGTAAATGGGCAGGAGAAAACAACGGTTCTCTTTTACTGAATTGCTGGATTTTAAGTCAAGATTGGGCCGGGGGGGGAGTGCTGCGCTGTGAAGGGGACGGGCAGGGTCCAGTGAGCCGTGTCCTGTGACACTCACATGAGCTTTTCTGCCAAATACCCAGGGGCTGAACAGCCACACCAGGCTCTGTAGTCCTGTGTCAGGGGAGCAGACAACAGCAGCCACTGCTGCAGAGGGCACAGGACATGACTTGCCAGGGATGCTGTGGTAGCACTCTGATGGCTGCTGACTCAAGGAGCTTTCTCCAACCCCCCCCGACCGCCCTGAGTGGCAGACACTTGTCTGTGCCATCCAAAGGTGTTCGCTGTGAGCTGCCCAGACCCTCAAGGATCCCAGGCAGGACTTTTGAGCTGGATGCCCTCTCTGATAAGCTGCAGTCCTGTGGGCATGGTGGGGAGGAGAGGAGAGCATCGGTCAGAGCATCCACCCATGAGACAACTGCCCTTGGTGTAGCCTGGGGCAGGACAGAGAGCTGAGGACCTTAGCAAGAGTGCAGACTAAAGTCCCCTGCACTAAGGCAGAGCAGGAATTTGCACCCAGGTCTCCAATGAGTCGGATTTGTGCTCCATCAGGTTATTTATTTCTCTCCCTTTCTTCTCCCAGCATGCAGCTATCTGCATGCCCAGGCATTTTTAAAAAGCCCATCCTGAGGCCTCAACACACAATGAATGCACAGCTGTATCTAGAGAAGCTGTGGGTTTACCTGATGGGACTGGTGGCTCATTTGGTCAAGCCTTCCCAAGGTGGGAACAGCATCCTCCCACCATACCCACATTGCTGGTCCTGGGGTCTCCCTGGTACTGGGTGGGGGAACTGTGCTACAGCTCAGGAGTGCCTTGGCTGAATGGTTCTGGGGAGCAGATCCCTGGGCTGATTGGGCTCAGATCCCAACTTTGCTGGGTGGAGTCAGAGGGAAGATGGAAGTCCCATCTCTAATCCTGTGCGGGTATCCCAATTCCTGCCTAACTGGCTTCTCCACAGTAGAGCGCATCCCAAGGAAGCCCCCAAAAGCTCCTGTTTCTAGCACAGCAATCTTTCCTTCCTTCAAAGCTGTAAAGTTTCATAGTTTGAGAAACAGTTCTTCACCCACTGCAACCAGGGCACCCAAGATCTCTCCCTGTCTGGGACACACACTGGCAGGGTGCTGACATCTTCCACTCCCTCCTTGGGCTCACTTCCCACAGGTGATCATATCTGGATCATCCAGAAGCCCCTTTCACAAATTCCCTTATGCCAGGACAGTGCTACAGCCTCCCCAGCTTCCTCCTGTGGTTGTGGAGCAGAAGTTTAGCTAGTCCTGCCAGAAGGTACTGGCTGAGATTTACAAAGCAGAACCCACTCTGGTGATGATTATTAGCAGTGCTCCCGCCTTGGTGAGCTTGGGAGACTACTGTGCTCAGCAGTCAAAGCTGCACACAGCACAGGGAGATTTATATCCCTGAGTATTGAGTTGAATGGACACAGTGGATTTGGAAAGGAAGTGGTTCAACTAACAATGATGAGGATAGGGAAGGAGGGGCTCTACTGCTCACACATAAACTGGAGTAAGATATCAGGTATCAACAAAGCGTTTCTGGAAAAACCCTTGTAGTGTTTTCCCATCACAGTTCCCAGCAAGGCTGTGCTGGGTCTTTCCACTTTGCACTGGAAAGTGACCTGTGGTAGCCCATGGGCTCTGCTGAAGAGAGGGATTTTAGTGTGGCTCCAGACTTCCCATGGCATGAACTGGAAGAAAAGGTTCTGCTGGGTCTGTGCCCCCTGGGATGGGGTTTGTGGAATTGCCCAGATGTGCCGGTGTCGACAGGTCAGGTGCCCCAGAACTGCTCCTTCAGTCAGAACTGAATGAGAAGTGTGGGGTGGGCATAAAATAGAAGCCAAATTTGCCATGTGAGCAGCAATACCAAGATCAGGAGCTGATTTCGGAAAAGGCAGGTGCCCTCATTTGCTGAGATACTGGGTAAGAGGCATAAAAGACTGTTTTCCTTGTAGTTTGTTTTACTGAGCAGGCATGTTTAGTTTTAGGAGCAAAGACTCCCACATGCAGGGGTCTGGCTTTGCCCGATGGGATCTAATATGGAGTTATTTCTTCTCATTGTGATGATTGACTTTCTCATCTCGTTCCTCCTTCCCTTGCTCATCCTGTTCTCTCCGTTGTCCCTCTCTCCATCTGCAGATCCAGTTGAGACCCATGCAAAGGCATCCCACGAGCATTATGAGGACTCCTGCAGCCAGCTTTGATGTTCAGTCCTTAATGGCAAAAATCCCAGCTCCCACCACTCTGGCCATTTTCCTGGCTTGCCTCTTCTCTGGGGCACACAGTCAGACCCCAAGGGCTTTCCAGGAGAGCACCATCCCCTTTGAGGTGCTTAGCCAGGAGCAGGTTTACAGCCTGGTCCAGCCAAGCCTGTTCCAGGATAACAGGCAGTCGAACCACACAGAGAGCGTCTCTGGGAGCACCAGCTCTGAGCCACCCCTGCTGCCTGTGTGTGTGAAGCCCGCAGATATCAGACACATCTTCAAATACATCAACACCATAGTGTCCTGCACCATCTTCATAGTGGGGATCATCGGCAACACCACACTCCTGAGGATCATTTACAAGAACAAGTGCATGAGGAATGGGCCAAATGTCCTCATTGCTAGCTTGGCACTTGGAGACCTGCTCTACATCCTCATTGCTCTACCCATCAATGTGTATAAGGTAGGTTCCATGCGGCATGAGTGCTGCAGAAGCCTGGCAATTGCAGCAGAGGCATCTGGCAGAGGTTGCCCAGAGAAGCTGTGGCTGCCCCATCCCTGGCAGTGTTCAAGGCCAGGTTGGACACAGGGGCTTGGAGCAAGCTGCTCTAGTGGAAGGTGTCCCTGCCCGTGGCAGGGGCTTGGAACTGGATGAACTTTAAGGTTCCCTCCATTACAAACCAGTCTGTGATTCTATGATCTGCTCCCACCTGCCTCTGTGCCCTGGGGACGGAGGCATCAAAATAAGCCTGCTCCTTATTGCATTACATTTTGGCAAGGGAGGCAGGGAGGGTGTTTCTGCTCTCCAAAGGGTGAGAAAAACATAGACAAAAATCTCGGAGTACATTCCTGGGAAAGCAGAGGTGTTCCCAGCTACAGCTGTGTTATGCAGACACACACAAGCATACAACCTTCCAGATCTTTTAAGTCTCATCTAAAATTACAAGAATCACTTGCAGTCTTCTGACATTACAACGCAATGTTAATTTCAGCTGAGCAAAAATTCTTGTTCTTGTGCACTGGGCACACTTCTCAACGTGCAGCCTCAAGCAAATATAGTTTTTATTTTAGATAAATGTGGAGACTCTTCCTGAAACAAGGAAGAGAGCTGTATTATAAACCAGGGGCTTCTTGCAGGAGCACTGCCTCCTAAATTTGAGAGGAGGCACAAAATAGAAGCAGGGATACCTGAGCTCTGCAGTAGACCTGAATGAGACCTCGGTATAGAGCAGAAGTGTTACAATATCTGTGAGGTGCATACGAGCCATTACAGCTCTTTCTCACCCACTGCTTGAGTTTTTGGAGCCATAGATTTCTATGAAGGGTTGGAAGGAATGCTGTGAGATGGAGTTAGAGCTTCACATTGGCCTTGATAGTGGAAACAGAGTCCCAGAGGAGTTCTGAATCAAGCTGGCTGGATGCTGGGGGGGAGAAGGCAGAGAAATTTGAAGTAGGAAGAAGTTGAGAACAACCAGATGTGGCTGTCGGAGGGTCTGAAATCACTGTGAGTAGATACGCTTCAAGTGAAAATGGACTGAAAACTATATAGGTTTTTTAGCTCGAAACAGACACGTTCTCCTGATTGATTTGTCTTGCTGCTGAGGCCAAACTAAAGAGCTTGGTTGAATGAGTAGGGATAACCTCGGGGTGGGTTCCAGGTGTCAGGTTGTGAACCCAGGTTCACTCTCACCCTTATGAGGGAGTGCCCTGGATTTCTTCTGCCTTCAGAGCATCTTGTCCCCACTGAAACCCACTGCTTGCCCCAGCTTAGCCTGGGGCCCCAGCATGTGTTCTATAAGGAATCTAAGTGTGGTAGAGGGCCAGAGTATGGTAAGGGTGGCTTTGAAAGCACCAAAAGAAGCTGTCCTTGCAACCCAAAGCCCATTGCAGCATTTAGGATTCAGATCCATTCAGAGTCTGGGGTCAGGTCCTGGTGTCTGGACCATCCTTCTAACTGTCAACACATCTCACAATGAGCCCCTGGGGAAACGAACAGTTCCCAGTTCAACACAAAACACTGGATAGCATGCTCTGCGTAATCCCAGTGAGGGAACCTCAGAGAGCTTTCAGCTGCTCTCTGTGGGCTTCTCACACCTTGTGGGTAATCACCTGCTTGGCCAGAAAGCCGGACATGATTTCCTGAAGCAGCTTGTTAATGCTGTGGTTCTTCCCCAGCTCTTGGCAAAGGACTGGCCCTTTGGCGTGCAGGTGTGCAAGCTGGTCCCCTTCATCCAGAAGGCTTCGGTGGGCATTACGGTCCTCAGCCTTTGTGCTCTCAGCATCGACAGGTGAGAAGCACTTCTACAGCTGCACTGCCCAGCCTGACCCATATTTGACTTACAGCAGGTACCCTCTCTGTAACTAAAAGGCAGAGTGGAGGGCAGCTTTGTCCCGGGACAAATTTAGAAGTGGGCACAAAGTGCTATCACGTAGAGTTGAAATCTAACAGGAACTGACTCTGGTGACGGTTTATATCCTGCTGGAAAAGGTTGAGGGGAGGGTCATGATCTGCTGGAACAACTGCTGGAGTGGGGGGGAAGGGTGGCATCTCCCCAGTGGCAAGTAGATGTTGGCCAAGGATAGCTGCCATCAAGCCCTTTTATCTGATCTTTCCCATTTCACAGAAAGAGAAGGTTCAAGGGTGGAGAAGGAAGGCATAAGGGAAGGGCTTTTGGGAGCAACTCTGATCTGCACCTTCTCAGCCCCTTCCTGACAGTTGCTTTTCCCACTCTAATCTACTCGTGCTGTGTTTCCCCACACTGGGCAGGTACCGAGCAGTGGCATCCTGGAGTCGGATCCAGGGGATAGGAATCCCCATGTGGAAGGCAGTGGAGGTGATGCTGATCTGGGCAGTGGCCATCGTGCTTGCAGTGCCTGAAGCTATAGCCTTCGACATGGTGGAGCTCAGCTACTGGGAACAACACCTGTGGGTGTGCATGCTTGCCTCCGAACAGAAATCCAGCTTCATGATGGTAAGTACTCTGTTGCACCCCAGCTGCAGTGCAAAGGGGAGGGAGACACAGGCAACAGAAGCACCTTCTCTCCTTGGTTCGATGCTTCTGCATATGGCTTCTTCTAGCCATCAGAGTGAGCACAGGGAGAGCAGTATCAGACAAAGGACTGTAGTGGCAAGGGGCAGACTTGCTTTGAATATGGGGCCAGAAATCAGACCTTATCATCCTTATGCTATGTCATGTCTTCACCATCCACATAAGAAGGTCCTAACACATCTCAGGAAGCTTCAGAACCTGTTTCACTGTCCCAACAGGCCAAAAAGGGTCTCCACAACCAGTCTGCATGGGTAACCTTTATCACAGGGCCCCCTAAGGGCAAGCAAGGGAATGAAAACCCTTATATACAAGAGCTCCTTGCAACTGGTTCTTGCACAGGAGTGCTAAATGGGACTATCAGCCAGATGGAAACCAGCCTTCACTGCTTTATGTTAGAACATGTGCCTTGCAGGAAGATACATGCACTTAGCACAGGAGCTGACACACTTCCACACATCAGAAGTGTCTGATTTGGGCCAGCATCACCATCAGGGCCTGGGTCATCTCATGCCCCACTTATCCCCTCACCTTTCCTCACTTTCCAGTTGCTTTTTCCCTTTGCCTGTAGTTCTACCGTGATGTGAAAGACTGGTGGCTTTTTGGCTTCTATTTCTGCCTCCCCTTGGTATGCACTGGCATCTTCTACACCCTCATGTCATGCGAGATGTTGAACAAGAGAAACGGCATGAGAACTGCTTTGAATGACCACATGAAACGGGTAAGAAAACCAAGAAGGCAGAAACTGGTATCTTCCAAACAGGAGGGAGAGCTATTGAACGGAACATGTGCTGTGAAGGACATGTATGAGCACAGAGAAGCTGTGGCTGCCCCATCCCTGGCAGTGTCCAAGGCCAGGTTGGATGAGGCTTGGAGCAAGGGGCTCGAATGGAAGGTGTCCCTGCCCATGGCAGGGCCTTGGAACTGGAGGAGCTTTAAGGTCCCTTCTAATCCAAACCATTATGTGATTCTATGATTCTATGAGCTAACATAGCCTGAGGGAGGTCAACAGATACTGGCACACTGGATTAAGGGAGATAGGCATCCAGCTTTACAGTGCCCAACTTCAAGGACATCCCAAACCTTATGACCATAGACCAGCTTGATTTCCAGCTTCTTATGGTCATTTATCCTTGGCTATGCTATGCCAGCCCAGATCACACCAAACTGGACTGAATGCTGAAGATGCCTTATCACAGACAAGGGGTACAGGGAAAGAGTTATTTACTGTCCCCTCCTACCCTTTGCAGAGTGATCCCTTGAGGCAGACCAGCTGGTTGTCACAGTAAGATAGAGTGAAGAGTGAATGGATGATGGATATCCCCCTGGATTATGATATACTCCCCATGTTCTGGGAAGTGTCACCCCAGCAAAGTCACCAAGAGCAATGGTGTGAATCTGGTCCATATTGTGCTGCTCATACCCTGCACACTGCTGCAGCCTGGATCTCAGAGTCTTCTTCATGATACAGGATTTGGAGCCTGCAGATTGTTCTTTGGACTCAAAATGGGTACCCAGTATCATCAGACTACAGAAATTACTTGAAGGGCCCTTGCTCAGCATGGGGAGATGGTGCTTTGCTACATCTGTACTCTAATGCTCAGCCAGACCCCTTCTCCCTGACCACCTTCTCTTCACAGCGCCGGGAGGTGGCCAAGACAGTGTTCTGCCTTGTAGTGATCTTTGCACTCTGCTGGCTTCCGCTCCACCTCAGCCGCATCCTCAAGAAGACCATCTATGACCAGATGGACCCCAACAGATGTGAACTGCTCAGGTAAGGACAGCAGCAAGAGGGCACTGGGCTGGTAGTCCTGATGGGCACTGGTGGAGGCTCTGTGGGCTCTCATGGCAGCCTGGTGGGGTTGCCTTCCAAACACTTTGTTTCAGTAGCTCCTATTCTAGATGGCATTGCTCTCCCAGGCAGAAGCAAAGGGCGTGGGGGTCCATTATAAGAGGAGAAATTAAAATTTGAAATGTTTCTATAAAGCTATGGGTTAAAGAGGGCTCCTGGGCAGAGAAACATTCCCTGAAGGGCTACAGGGGATGCAGCACATCTGAGGACTGTGCACACTTTCTGACACATGGTAGGTGCCCATCTTCCCCTCTCCTCTGTATCCATCACACCAAAATCCAGTTCAGACCAGACATGGCTACTTGAGCCTGCTTGAGTTTGAGAATGTCAAAGTCACCAGGGGAAATCAGATCTCATGCTTTTGGTTTCCTTAGGAAATGCGCCTCTCAAGAAAAAGCGTGGGGCAGTTGCCCATTTGTGGGAGGGACTGTTTTGTGCCGAGCTCTGTGTTATCAGTCACCAGCCCTCCATAGAAGCAGGCCCCTGGGCCAGGCAATGTGCAGGCAGTTTGGAAACCCTGCCTCAGTTCTCTGCTCTGTGAGCTTCCAACACGCCTACCCTCCTGTCTTCCCTCTGGCCTCAGTTTCCTCCTTGTGATGGATTACTTTGGGATCAATATGGCCTCCCTCAACTCCTGCATCAACCCTGTGGCTCTCTACTTTGTCAGCCGGAAATTCAAGAACTGCTTCCAGGTAGGATTGATCCCTCCAGAGCTCCTGGCTACAGTGTCTGTTCACAGACACTGGCATAAACTCCCATGGACTAGACACAGCACAGACAGAGGCACCGCCACTGCAGCGGACTTCTGAGCTCCTGAGATAAGTGGAAAGGAGCTGCCACCAGCCCACAGGGCTCTCCCATTTGCTCATATTCTGATCATATTTCTCCCAGTTTTTGCCCTTGCTAGGTGCCTCTCCTTGAAGCTTCCAGTATGCCAGAGCTCGCTGCCCTCTGATGGGGATGCTTTTGCCAGTGCAGGACAAGCAAAAGAAAAAATCCCTCTCATTCTGAATCAGAAACATCCCCACAAACCATTAGACTAGAGACAAGGGGTGCTTTAAACGTTGATCCCAAGTTATTCAGAGATCATATTCAGGAGTAGTGGAGCCCTGAGAAAGGAAGGGGATGAGATGAGAAGGGACAGAAACAGATGGGAAGGGAATCACTTCCTAGATGCTGTGTCAAAAAGAGCTGAGCCCAGCTAAGCATTATCTGTATTTTCTGTCCCCCAAGGATAAGAAAACACAATTGCAAAAAATACCCAAGATTTTGGTGTCTTTGTTTCCAATCCTCACCAGCCCTATCATGGAAAACCTGCTCCCAGCAGATCTGCAGGACGGCAAAGTTCAGAAGTGCAGGCTGCGATCCCCAGCCTGGCACTGTGCAGGTTGACTTGCCAACATCAGTAAGGGAATATTTCCTCCTGTTTTACCCTGTAGCCCACACCTGAAATCTCTCCCCACTTTTGTTTCCTCGCAGTCCTGCCTGTGCTGCTGGTGCCAAAGATCCACTCTGAGCATTACACCGACAGATGACAAGGGCTCTGTTGGGAAGTGGAAAGCCAACGGGCAGGAGCTTGGGGTGGACCGGAGCAGCTCCCGCTTGAGTAACAAGTACAGCTCTTCCTAAAGCCATGCCTCTGGCAGGGCCAAGAGGAGAAGGCTCTGTGCCAGAATGGCAGGACTCCTCCATTACTCTCGCATGGCTATTTCCTGGCTGGGCCTGAACAATTTTTGTCTTCATGTGATAACCCACCTGGAAGGAGCTGCAGCATTTCACTAGACCCCTGGGACTAGCTCTGAACACAGGCTCTGTACCATTCCGATCCATCCCCTGGTCTGAGCCACTTCTGGAGGAGAGGGAAGAGGATGCAGATCCTCACATGATTTTTCATTTCCTTGCAGGAAAAGCAAATGACTTATGGCCATTTGTCTTGGTTGGAAATGTGGGGTCGGGAGATGTGTTAGAAAAGGAAAAGAAGGTTGAGATGTGGTCACATTGAGATGAGTGTGGGATGAGGAGGAGGGGGAGAGGACCATGAGTGACAATTTCCAGCTGAAAAAGCCAAAGAAAAGGTTTGGTAACATTCCTTATCATCTCCCTCTGTGATTGGGACAGTTTGTCCCTGCACAGAGCCAGGATAAGATCCTGGCCACGTGTATGTCTGGTAGACGCACTGACTGTGTGGAATCTCCTCCCGTTCATGGTAGGGAGAGATGGGCAGTAACTTTGCTTCATTGTTTGTCAACTGCTTCAGTGACAAACCTGACTCAAGGAGCCCTATAAGTCCTCCCCAGTTCACATCTTCCCCAGGCTCCCCACCTAAGGATGGTGCTCACCCCACCTGTGTATGGCACAAGAAAGGGACTGTATGGAACCGCATGGCTTAGAGGAGCAGATACCCTTGGTGGAAGCTAGTGGCTGTCAGCTCCATCTTCTCCCTCCCGAGGGCAGGTGAGCTCCTGCTAGCTGGGCACAGTTGCTGGCCAGAGGGGCTGTCCTTCAGGGAAGAGTGTGTAAGCCTGGGAAAGAGAAGGCTTAAATGTGAATGAGGCTTGCAACCAAGGAACCAGGCCTCACCTTTTCTGCCCTCTGCTGAACCTGGCAGCAGCTAATTCTCTGCCTGCCGCAGGATGCAAGGGAGAGGATCCAGGAGCTGGGCCCTTCCAGAAAAGCATCCAGCCTTCAGTTGCTGCTGTCTTCGGCAGCTGGAAACTCCACCGACTCCTTCAGCCACTGGCTCTGGGGAGGGGGATTGCCTGAAAGAGCACAGCTCTGAAGGGAAAGAAGGGGCATTTTGCTGCTGCCAACGAGGCCAAGCTCCAAAGGGCAGCAGAGCTTGACCCTGATGTCTCTTGGCCACAGCACCATGACACCAGGTTCATCCATCTGTAAGGGTGACACTGCTGCTCATCCTCATAGTCAAACTGCGGTGGAAAAGCCAACAGAGGAGGTCCAATCTCGGCTAAAAGAGCTGCTAGAGCTAACCAAAATATGGCAAAGTGTTCACAGATTTATTATTTAATTAATTTCCAAGTGCTTTCCCAGTGTGTTTTTCTAAAAAATCATGCTTGCATATCTCGCCAAAACTTTAAAACCTGTATGAGAAAGTTCTACTTACCAAGTTTTTATTACTGTTGTTTTTCCCTTCTCTCTTTTACCTCTCTGTTTCTTTTCCTCATTCCCCTTTTCATGTTGCCTAGGGAAAAACCAAAGAGAGGACAAAGGGGGAGCAGACTTGCAAATAAAGCAAAACATTTTCCAACTGTTGGGTTTTTTTAGCTTTGCTTTCACTGAAATGCAAAGGTTTTACAAACAAATGACATTTGTGAAAGACTAATGTGTTTCAAGGAAAGCAGAATGGCTGACGAGTAGCTAGACCAGTACCTTTCCATAACCCAACCCACCCAAAGGAGCAGATGCAGCTGTGTTCATGCCACAGCGCTGCTGCTATGCTCTGCCCCAGAGCTGGCTGCGTTGTGTTGGAGGACAAATAAAGTTAATGAAGAAAAATGAAGACTGAAAACTCCTGGTGTAGACACTTTAGTAAAAGGATTTTTTTTAAAGGATTTTGCTTATAATCTTGCAGGCAATTCCCCTCCTAGCCAGTTTGGACAGTGCTGTGAGAAAACTGCTCTAGTGGAAGGTGTCCCTGCCCATGGCAGGGGGTAAGAATTAGATGAGCCTCCCAACCCAAACCAGTCTGGGATCTATGAATATATGATTTGCAATTCTTGGTCACTCTCCCATTCTCATAGGTGAGCTGTGCCGAGGGCAGGTCCAATCACAGCAACTCCTGGGTGTGTCTGGTGTGCCTGACTGTGCCCAGGGTTGGAACTGGATGAGTTTTAAGGTCCCTTCTAAACCTGGTCTCTTCATCTGAAAGGGACAGAGCCTTTACCACTTCTTTGGGCAACCTGATGCAGTGCCTCTACCTTTCAAAGCAGAATCTCCTACTGCTATACACCACCACTGGTTCTTGGCTGCACTAGCAGATTTCCTCTTCATTGGTGCAGGAACGGGTTGTTCCTCTGTTAGTCCCCTGCAGAGCTGTGAAGTGGCTCTGGGTGGGGACACTGGGCTCTGGAGGAAACTGACAAAAAAACTTTTCTTCTAAAAGCTCAGGGTAGACACAGCAGTGAAGCAGCTGTTTATTAATGTCATTGCAAAAACGGGTATCCTGGCAAGTAGGCACACACAGCAAAAGCAGAACAATGAATTATATTTCCTGTGCTGTCCACAAATTCCCTCCCTTGTTTCCCCACTGGTTGGGTACTCCAAGGTTTACAGACTATCCGACGCATATAATCTACATGCCAACTGTCCCACCTCTGGTTACATCTCCCCTTATTCGATTTTGTATGCCCCTTCCTCTCATTTATTTATCTCTTTTTATGGTTCGATTTCATAACTCTGGCAGACATGTGGTACCCCGACTTATGTTTAACCAACCCGCACCTGCTTAGTCATAGGTCGTACAAAGATAGTATTCTTTTTAACCACAGAGTGTGTCTCTCATCCAGAGATGATATTGTCTTTAACCACAGTGTGTCTTTCTAAGTTACAAAACTTAGAAAAACAAAACCCTCTGTTTTGTTCCCTGAGTAACACCCCCAGCCCCAGTATTGAAAAATCTTAATATTGGAAAGCCTAAATCTTGCAAAGCCCCATCCCCAGTTATGCGAAAACAACACTGTTTCTCTTACGCTCCCTATTATTCCTCTGTATGTTAATAAAACGTGGTGGTGTTTGAAAGGAGACTTTCATTAACTAGCAATCTCCCCTCAGACAGGTTAAAGCCATTCCCCCTTGTCCTGTCCGTACATTGCCTTGTAAAAAGCCCCTCTCCAGGTTTCTCAGCCTGTCTCCAGAACCCTCCCAGCATCTCCATGGCCTCCTCTGGACTCACTCCAGCAGCTCCACGTCCCTCTTGTGGTGTTGCTCCAGAGCTGGATCAGGACTGCAGAGGGGTCTCCCCAGAGCACAGCAGAGGGGGAGAATCCCCTCCCTCAACTGCTGCTCACACTCTGGGGATGCAGCCCAGCACAGAGGGGTTCTGGGCTGCAAGCGAATAACGCTCTGTTTAAAAAGGAAAGCCGGTTTTATCTGTTGAAGTCAACTGCAGTGGTGCCTGCAACAGAAAGATTGAAACTGGGAGAGGGTGCTGCCTCTCTAAAAGCTGGACTTTGCACAGTGCTGAGCTCCTCTGCTCCCTGTGGACGTGGGGCAGACTAGCTCTGTGCACAAGGCTACCTGAAAACTGTGTGATCTCAAAATCCTGGGCAGAAAAAAGCAACGACGCTTGGAAAGAGACAGAAATAAGACAGAAGAGTGGAAGAACTGCCTTCTATCATATTTCATACCCTTCTGAGCTGAACACAGTGTCACCTCTGCAACATCAGCCTCCATAATCTTTATTATTAGAGAAAATACAGGTTTGCATCAAAGCAGTCATAAAACACTGTCGTGGTTTAAACTCAGTCAGCCACGCAGTCTCTCTCTCACTCCCCCTCTTTCCCCCCCCCCCCCCCCCCACCCCGGGAGGGATGGGGAGGAGAATGGAAAGAATGTAACTCCCACGGGTTGAAAGAAGAACAGTCCAGTAACTACGGTATAACACAAACCCACTACTGCTACCACCAATAATAATAATGATAAGGGAAATAAACAAGGGAAGAGAACACAACCACTCACTACCTGCTGACTGATACTCAGCCTGACTGAGCAGTGATCCAACCCTTCTGGGTAACTCCCCCAGTTTATATAGTGGGCATGACGTGTTGTAGTTTGGAATGCCTCTTTGGGTAGTTTGGGTCAAGTGTCCTGTCTCTGCTTCCTCCCGGCTTCCCCTCCTCCCTGGCAGAGCATGAGACTCACAAAGTCCTTGGTCAGAGTAGACATTACTGAGCAGCAACTAAAAACATTGGTGTTATCAGCATTGTTTCCAGGCTGAAAGTTAAAAACCACAGCACTGCACCAGCTACTAAGAAGGATTAAAAATGACTGTTACTGCTGAACTCAGGACAAACACACAACCAGAAATACTTGGCACAGGGAATTCAACACATAGATGTTACACACATCCATGGAGACTGCCATCCCTAAATGCTACTGTATCTCTTCCTCCCTCTGGGCCCTGTACTCCTTCACGCTCCTCTGCAAGCAAGAGCAAAGAACAAATGTTAACAGCATATACCTGAGTGGCTCATACATCCCATGCCACCACCCTGCTCTGTGCTGTGACTTCTCTGTCCAGCGCAGAGGACCCTGCGCAGCTCCGACAGAGCTCCAGGTACCTTCAGAAGTGACTGAGCTTTACATTCACTCCAAGGAACAGGAAGCCAGGCCATGCTGCAGGTCATGCAGAGAAGGTCTGAGATAACTGTAGGTTGTTTATGCCTACAACACAACTGTCAACCCTTTCCTCTCTCCTCTGAGACCAAGAGAGAGAAAAGCCCCCTGAAGTCTTCAGGAATAGTCTCACCTCAAAGGTGTTGAGCACATGTTAGCAAATGTGTCGTCCAGCCCTTTCTGGAATGGCTCAACAGCAGGAAGGGCCCCTTTGGGAAAGAAGATGGGTCAGTGGTTTCCAAAGGGGTTGGTGGCCCTCTCCCACTGGTTTGGGCAGTGTGGTTGTTCCCCTGTGATGGGAACAGGCACATGCCACACATGGCCCAGGCTGTGGTCCAGGAAGGGCAGAGCCAAATCCTGCAGGCAGCCCCACAGGGAAGGGGTTCCCTTGACAAGAAGAGCCTCAGCACTACTCATTTTTAGGAAATTAAAGTGTCAGCAAGCACAAACTAGATACTCAGGGGAACAGCCCCATAAGGAAGGAATGAACACTGTCCTCCTGCGGCAGCAGACAAAGCTGTGGAGCCTAGATGGAGGGCAGTGGGCTGAGCTGGAGTGAGTGAGTGATGGCCTG